AAACAGAAACAAGGTAAAGAAGATCGATCATAATCCAAAGCTCATCAGGCTTATTCTTATTAACAGTGGATACCAAGGTCCTCGGTGGGTTGCAGGAGGGGAAGAATTGAACCTCATTGTTCTATGAATTGAGGGACATAAAATGTGTCTAGGTAGTAGATACTCGTATGTACTAGTAGATACCTACCTACTCGTATGTACATGGAGTATGCCTTTCCTGATGTAGTTTTTGATCAAATTTTGGTTGCCAGGAAGTTGTTAGTCCTTTGAAACTAGCCTATTTTTATCCTAATCTCATTAGATAGATTTCATGATTAGCTTCAGTCAAGGCTCTAATTAACTATCATCTCTTGCCCCAAACTCCCTTTGAAGAACATCATTAGTTAGATCCTGATACAAAGAGGGAAAAAAGCATAGAGTAAGAGGCCTGTCGTGTAGCACGACGCACCACCAGTTGAAGTATCTATTGATCATCTGGTAATCGAGATCGAGTCGTTGAGACCCCTGCGATCAAAAAGTAACTAATGAGAATTGCAGCAAAACTTGTGAAAATTCAAGAATTCCGAATCAGGGCTGCATCGGAAAATGCAAATGTTTCCATAAGTCGGTAAGGATTATACGTTGTAGACCACTTGACAGTCATACAACAAAACGTGTATTTCCAAGGTTGTCATGAGTAGAGGCTATTCAGGATGAGCGCAATGAATGACTTCACCTAGATACAGCCTGGTAGATAGGTATGCATTTTCTACATTATTTCCTATTACAACAGACACTCTTGTAATAAGCGTCGTTTGATTGTTGTCCGGTCTTCCGTTGATATAAATTATTACCTACCTACCCTACGATAGGTACTCTGGTATTCTCACCTCCAGCTACCGGTACCTATGAAACAGAAATTTCGGATATCGGACCCAATCCGAGGAAACCGAAAAAATTCCCTGCACCGACCTCTCTTTTCTGCCACGAACCCATCTCTCATTGACAAACTCTTTCTTCTTATCGAGGCCAATCGTGCATGCATCTATGTGAAAATTTTATGCAGTCGTGTGGAGAGGGCTCGGAGGGTTGAAAAAACAAACGGATGGTTTGATATAAATCCAGGAATTCATTGTACGCTGGGTGGAGCTTTTGCTGAGCCTCGGAGACCAAATTCGCATGGCAGGTAGGGTTACGGGTGTTTATATGCAGCATCGGCTGATCATTGTAAGGGATGTTCAAGTACCTGATCAAGGATTGCCTGCTTCAAATTACTGACGTCTATTTGTTGCTTTTCAGAACCATACAAAAGAGGTAGTGCCAAACCCGGTCTTTCCGTCTGGAACTCCACTCGAATTTAGTTTATTTGATCCAAGGGATGGAACCTTCTTTTGTTTGTCAACACTCCAAGGTTACCAGATTAGTTCCCAGCCAACTCATACATACTTAGACGTTGTTGCTGACACTCAGCTCTTTCATTCGAACTCTGTCTGCCTCTCTATTCTATCCCCTTCAATTTTTACGCCGCTGTGCGGGATTTGCTGACCATATCGAACAATGATGACTATGTGAATAGATCTCTGGTGTTGTAAGACCTATCTTGAGCCTTCAGCGAATGTCTGACCACAAGCACTCTCAATATAAAATCTATTCCACAAGCTCTCACATCTGTGCGAATTTGAAAACAAGCAGTATCGTTATCGTCTGATTTCAGCCATTAGATCAATCCGCCTTCTTGGCTTCATACATACATTTTTATAGCCTTCTCTCTGCCAGCCCTACGAATATACCTCCTTCCATGCATACGGAGAACGTCGAACCTAATAGCGACCCCAAAGCCTCGAAACTTTCCAGGTCCTCCAAAAGAGCAACTTCGCAGTCGCGGATACCTTCGCCCACGAGGACGTCCCTTTGCTGGGACGTCCCTTCTCATCAATATGCTTCTACATTCAGCAGCCGGCATGCACAACCATGAGTATTCACATTCTACCCTTCCTGCTCGGCCTCGCAGCGATTTCATGCCTAGAAGATCACCTCTGAATCGCTCATCTTTCTCAAATCCTGGCCCAGAATTATCTACAACTAATGAAGATTCAATACCGGCTTTATCAACTCGACGCTCAAGAGCATTATCCGAATATATACCTCGCAAATTAGAACATCAACAGGTGCATACTGTTCGATTCCAAGAGCCTGAACCGGATAGAATGAGCGAAGATGGCAGATCAATTGCGAACTCGGAAGGAAGTCGGTCGACAATTGGAGGTCGACGGCGCAGGAGATCATCCAAAGCTAGCACAGCATATAGCTTGGCACACCCGGCTCCGACTTTGACACACAAGCAACGGTTATTGAATATTCGCCCGAAATTGCTAATGCAATTGCAGTTATTGTCAGTTGATAAAAGGCCTAAGCCTACATTAGATGTCCTGCCTTCGACCGTTGTTGTCTCCAGATTGGCTAAGAGGTTTCCTCGAATGTTCAGAGGAAAAGGTGAATTGGGTGCAAATGACATAATGATTGTAAAGAGCGAAGACTACTGTACACCGGATCACTCCATTGATGATACAGATTCTGACGAGGAGGGATTCTCGCACAGAGATCTTGTTGCAGTTATTTGCCAAATGCCGAAGGATGAAGGGGGCTCTCAAGGAAAAGCCGAGATAGTTTTAGGCGATGGTTCTGTGTGGTTAGCATGCCCACTGCCAACAGGTTCTTATGAAATGACGAAGTTTGACGAATCAGGAGCAAAGGTGACCACTATTCGATGGGTGAAAAGAGCATATCATCACAATATTTCCGATTTGCCTAACAACGATGTCAAATTCAATTTCAGTATCATAGACCCAAATTCACGCCGCCACGCAATTATGGCGACTATTACTCAAACAAAATTGGACATTCCGGATTATTATACCTCGTTATCTCCTCCGTCTGGAACAGAAACCACAACGACACCGGTGAGTGAGGTATCTGGTGAGCTCGAAGATGAGGATGGCGGTATGGACACGATTATCGAGCGCATGCCTCAACTCATGGACGAGACCACGAGGACCTTGATTCAAGTCACGGGAATATGGGTTTCTTTACGCCAAGGCTGGTCTCCTTATTTCAAATACAATGATGCTATGGCTACTTTCAGCCAAAATAAAGGTTCAAGAGACTCTATGAACGGGAGAAGTAGAACCTCTTCAGTGATACCAGATCAAATGCGATCAACGTCTTTTACTGCTCTTACTTCCACTCGCTCAAGCACACCGGAATCTGCATTTGGGGCCATTGGGGAAAAGATTCTCAGATGCAATATTGGTAAAGCAAATTCCGTCACAGCGTCTTCGTCACAGGATACAATTACATCACCAAGGCGAGCGAGAGCCACATCTACTGGTGCCGCGTTCATGCAAAGGGCAGCAAGCCGCAAGATAAACACAATTGCCAGCGATAGTGAAGGAGAAAGCATAGCTCAAATTCCTGAGAATAGCCAAAGTCAAAATGCTAAGACAGATATCTCGAACCGCGTTTCTTGTCCTCCTGGGCTAGATACCGTTGCGTCACCTACGCAGACTCCTCATCGAAGAGTGCAGTCTGCTCACATGATTCCGAGTACAGGTACACAAAATGCTGGCAACAAAATCATGGATGGGCAGAGCGAAGATGGCCATGGCAAACCTCCTCCCTTGAAACGGAAGAACAGCCGATGGAAATCGTTTATTAACTGTATTCGCCGTCGACCTTCTTCTCGTCTCCCCCTCTCGTAACATTATCAGGAAATACTTTTGTATCAACACTGGCGTTATTATCATAAAAAGCATTGGGTTCAGGCATATATAAATTTTGGAATATGAGGCACATTGGATGTGTATTTGGCTTGGCGTTGGTAGATATCACTCCGGCATATTCGTTTTTCTTGGGAACACAACATGATACTCCCTCCGTCTACTCTTGCTTGTATTTTTAGTATATAGTATAGGTAGTTCGTAGGCTCTATCGATAAGGTAGATATTTTTTCCATAACAATGAAAAGGCGTACGTCTTGTCACAACCTTTGGAGTACAATGTTTGTTATCATCTCGTGTTTAGTCAGCATGCTTGCTTTTAGAATTCCTTCAAGGCAGTAATGATCACGTAGGCTTGTTACAAGTTACAACCGAGCTAGCAGGTAGCTATCTAGACATTCAATGTGAACCTTACGTACGGCTAAATGCCTAATAAGAAATTCCCTCTTTTGCATAAATATCCTCTGATATTCACTTCTATTGATTCTCGTGAATGGATTGATTGAGTGACTGACTGATTGACTAAATGACTGACTGACTGATCTGATTGACTACTTATAGATTTCTCTCTTTGTTTAGAGTTCCAAGGCTGATATAAGAATCATTGAAGTTTGGCTCTAGATTCACATTCATATTCTAGAAAGATTTACTACTCGAAGACCGAATCATTCAGAGCTTCCTTTCGCCCCGTACCGGTGACCTTACCTTTAGTACCTACCTACCCACCTACCTGCCGCCTTTATTATTCGAAAGCACATACAAAATACACCAAACACCACCACTCTTTCACTTCCTACGGGACACTTCAACAATCCCTGTCTACAGCTTCTGGTACCCGCGCACGGATCTCGAGGCACAAGGCTGGTGTTCCCTCTCTGTCCAACATCATAATTATCAAGACTTCTATGCTGTGATACACTCTTTCAAATTCAACTTTTGCCCCTCTTCATCAATTACAGATTATTTAATGAGAATAGAGCTTCTTGGTGGCCTATTATTTCCTGGATAACTTTCAGGAACTTCAACACTGCGGCTTTGGGGTTTATCTGGAAGCTGATTCAGTCGTGTGCGAGAGAGATCGCCTTCCCATCAACGAAGCTACTTGCCTGCTTTGTACAAGTACTTGTGCGATGCTCTTTCACTTAAGCCATTCATGATTACTGACAACAATTAGTTACTAGATTCTCTCTATCATACCCAATCACTCAATTTTAGCCGTTATTCCCAGATAAAACGATTTGCAAGATGGACGAAGGGTTCACAAATGGCAAAAGCCATTCGCAGTACCTACAGAATATGCTCCAAGGAGGTTCGAGCGATACGATTTCGCGTGCAACTTCGCCAGGTCTCGGGTTTGGGGCCAACGGAATCGATACCGACAGGGAGAAACGATACAGGCCCAGAACATTTCCCTACTTCAAACTATTACCATATAAAGTCGAGGAGGAGACCGAACGTAATGTGGCGCTGGCAGAAATTATCAAGCAGCTTTATATTGCTCTCAAGGCCGAAGATATTGCACCCGGTGCTGTACACTGGACAAGAGAGCTAAGAGCATGGCTAAGTCTGAAATTCGACATTACTCGTGCGTTGCGTGTGAAGCTTGTTAAGCTCTATTACATGCTGTCGTTGGCCCCAGGCTTGGACTTGAGCAATGGAGAAAGATTCGAGAGCATGTTTAGATTCCTTTTGACTAGGTATGTTGCATCGTCTTCATTGTTGTGCACAACTAATGATTAATTAGAAAAAAGCATCACCTCAAACCCGGAGCAGATCTTATTCTTGATTGGAGACCACTTTGGAGAGAAATCAAAGGTCTCGTTCTTCCCCATGAAATGGCGGCGCATCAGGGTAGCCGAAAGCGAAGCCACAAGAACGTTGCGAGCCTTGCAGCTTATGCATCGCAGTTTTTTGATCCCGGTGAAAGAAAGGCTATGTTCGAGGAGATTCTACCATATTTTAGTACCTCGGATTGTTCATACGCATTCATTACCCTTGGAGCTCTGAACATGATGATGCCAACTCAGCCATCATTGAATGAATCGGGCTCACTTCAACAGCCACAAGATTACTTGCCTACGCTTTTTCATCTTTGGTCACTTGTCAACCGCTCTAAGATCTTTGACGTGACATTTTTAGACATGTTTTCGAGGCTTGCCCGAGATTCTATAGCTAACGAACATGTTAACTTCTCTGAACATGGTATATTCACAAAGGAACAATCCGATCTTATATTTACGGCAATTTTGCGGTTGACCGAGATACCCGTTGGACAAGCTACCACTCCATATAGTCCAATGGTCGACATGGCTTCCGGCCTTGGGGTATATCTTGAAACAGACAAGAAGCGAACACCCGTCGGATATACAATTGCACGATGGATAGTTATGTCTCTGTCGCCATTATCTCTAAACAGCGAAAATTCTATTCTGTCAAATCTTGAGGGGTTGATACAATCCATCGATACCTTTTTTCATCCGTCGAACAACGGAAACTGGGCAGATATATTATCACAGACCGTCTTCCATCTCGTTGATTTCTTCCTCTTGCGTTGGAATCGGGAACAGAGTGGCGAAATGGACACACCACCCGCGCGACGCATTACTCCTGAATTAAAGAAGAGATTCGTCCTCATTCTTAAAGACGTAGTTTTCATGGGAATCTTTTCCAAAAGATCAAAGATTCTCAATTATTATTTTGTTGCACTTCAAGGTTTAGCAAATCTTGAACCAAACTTAATCTTGCCAGGAGCAATGCAAAGATTTTACCCTTCACTTCAAGGTTTGGTTGAGGTCCATCGAACCTCTTCATCTCTTTGTAGTCTTCAAATGCTCGCCAATGTTATGTCAAAACATAAGGGATATCGTTGTCATATTACAGCGTTGCTAGCTCTAGCTTTGCCTGGTATTGATGCCAACGACTTGTCCAAAACCCAATATACTTTGAATTTTATACAGGCTGTGGCATTTAGTATACCATTTACGGATCTCACAAAAAATCACGATGGTATCCATGACACATCCCTTGCCATTCAATGGGTACAGGGCGAGATGGAACGACTGGAACGAGATGGCCCAAAGGTGGAGATTGACTATGACACGGAGCTTAGTGATGAGGACGAAGCCAATATCTTGCGATCTTCCACCGCAGGCTTTGGCGAGTTCGTCTTAGCTCTGCTCGGGAAAGTATTTACCTTATTAGAGAATTTACCTGAACAAAATCGGCTGCGAACCGGAGCTCCGGAAGAGAACGTGGTCAATGTTTTACCTAGCGCTCTCACACCTTTGTTTTGTTCCTTGTCACCTGATCTCTTCGACATGGCATTGGAGAAAATGGCAGCTTTCATTAATAGCCACGTTGTCCACCAGGCTAGAGATGCAATGGCATTTATCGTCAATTCAATGTGCAAGGCTAATCCAGAGAGGACAATAAAGCTGCTTTTGCCGATGCTTGTTGTTGGTATCCGAAACGAGATTGATTTCAATGATGCTGCATCCAACAGGAGTGGTGGTTCTGACGTATTGCCTCGCGATCGAGCTTTAGTTTGGCATTTGAGTATGCTTAGCATGATTGTTGTTCATGTCGGAGATGCAGTCATGCCATATAAGAAAGAACTTTTTGATATAGCTCTTTACATGCAAGAAAAATGCTACGGCCTCGCCACAACTCATGTCTCTAATTTTATTCATCACCTTTTGCTCAATCTCACCACAATCTATCCTGTTGATACTGCCCTATATGAACCAGAAGTTTTTGAGAGAGGTCTTGATGTCAGCGATTGGGGTCGCAACACTAAACCATCCGAATTAACGATAAAATGGCATGTGCCTTCCTCCGATGAGATCGGCCTTGCCGTTGAAATATTTGAGTCTCAAGTAAAGACCTCGATCGAGAAGCTTGACAATTTAACCAGCGATTCTCCAGCCGTTTCACGTAAGGGTAAGAACAAAGAGTGGTCAGATGAAGTTGAAAGAGCTCTCACGCATATTCGGTTGATGATGTCCGGTGTTTCTGTCCTATTCGATCCCAAAGCAGCCTCCGGGAATTTACATGGGGAGTTTGATTCAGACAACGACATCGCTATGAATGGAGATAACCCCATGGAAGGTGATGATGATCCTTTAGCGGAAGCTTCCGAAGATGAGGAAACCAGACCTCAATTCCATTATCGTGCAGGATACCTTTTGGAGAAAGACAGCCCAGCGTATGTTCGTATACACAAACTTCGCGAAGATGTTGGCCACCTATATTGCAAGATGCACAACTTTCTGATGACATATCAAGAAGATGATGTTCCTTGTTTCACCGCGCTTTATTTGGCATACAAATCATGGATCACAGATGTTGGCAATGAGAAGTCTGCTCATACCTTGGAACGAATGAACAAAATCTACCTCTCAGAGATTCGGTCTTTCAAAGTTACTGGGCTTAGGAAGGTATATCCAAGACCCTTGTTGATAAAGCGCGCTGGAAGCTATCACCTACAGCGTTCTAAACACAACGCATCGGCACGACAGAAGTCGGATCTTGATAAGGAACTTCTTTTGAATCTAGCAACATCAGCCATCTCCCAGTATGCCGAAGTTCGAGTCACGGCTCAGCAAGCTATGGAGTCAGCTTTGAAGAGCGTTATTGGCGGTCGACCCCTAGTTGTACCCCAGTTACTAAGTGCCTTTAGAACAGCTTTGGAAACAAATGATTTTGACCGGATCAAGGGGTGTCTTTATACGTTATTATTTGGTAGCCTTACGAAAACAATCTCCAAAGATTGGCGGTTTGCGCCAGAGCTGATTGATCTATACATTAAGTCTGGATCTGTCGATAAACCCTCTATTCAAAAGGTAGGTAATACTGCCATGTACGGAGGATTGATTGAATTTGGCAGAAGAATGGAGACCCTTGTTGTCCTCGACCAAGCTCTTATTCAAGAAATAGAACCACAAGAAGATTGCCACTCCACTATTAAGACCAGGAACGACTTCATTATTGGACGACGTGTTAGAGTGGAAGAAAAGAAGTGGAAGTTAGCAGTGGAGCTTACTGAATTTGCAAAAACTGCTCACTGGAAGCTTGCCGGGCGTTGTACTTTATTCATCAACAATTTGGGTCTCCGAGTGCAAACACTTGCACCGCCTGAAATGATTGAGCTCGCTACGTTAGGAGCCGTCACTGAACATCCCGGGCTTCGAGCAGCTCATACTGAATTCATGACTCGCATCCTGAATCACATTGAAACTCGTGCTATTTATGGCCATAGCTTCGAGAAGTATATTCGCGAAGAGGAACGCCAGCCTAACAAGCTCGAGATTTCCGTGGATAATAAAGACCCCAAGTGGACCAAGAAGTTCTTGGACTCCTTCGCCGAGCCTGGACAGCCAGAATATTACTTGGATCGCGATTGGCCCGGATGGCTTGTCTGGGGTAAGAGCTTTTATGCCATGCGAGCAGATCCTATAGAATTCACGGATTTCGATGAGCTAGAAATTTCGGCGAGAAAGCAGATTGGATCTCTGTTGACTTTAGACTGGTATCAAAAGTTCTTCATGTACATGAAGCAAGAACCAAGAGACACCTCTGCAGATCGATTCCGAGTGCAGAACACAACTTTACTAGTTCAAACGTTCGAGTTGATGCATTCCGGACTCACTTCAGCCAACTTTGATGATATCAAAGAAGAGGTAAGAAAAGTATACGAAGATGGTAGTGACAAACATCAGCATCGTGCAACAGCAGAGATCGTGGCTGGGCTTATGCTTTCCACATATGACTTTCCGAACAAGAAACGTGATGAGGTTTGGGCTTTCTGTTTACCTATCATGTTAAATGTCTTCTCCGAAGGGTTGACACCAGAAAATTTGACTTACTGGGTCACCGGTCTTCATATGGTTATCGGTGGAAGAGACCCCAGGTCATCAAGAGAACTTTTTGATTTCCTTGTTTCATTCCGGTTAGATATTACCTCCAATGCAGCCTTTAAGGATAGTTCCAAGATTCAGCTCTTGGATGTTGCTATCTCTGATGCTGGTTGGCATTTCCGCAACGACGAGCCCATCCTACGAGATTTCCTGGACCACATCGACCACCCGTATAAAGCTGTGAGAGAAGCAATTGGCCGCGCAACTGCTACCATATATCGTATGAGATACTTTGAGGCATTCAGAGATGTGGATACTCTTCTAGAGGCGAACAAGTCGGCTTCTTCCATTGGTATCAAACCTTACGAACCCACGGAAGATTTCTCTTCAACCATCCGAGACGTCTTTAAGCGACTAGAAGCTTGGCGTGGTCAGCGAAATCCGGGTGAGCAAACACCAACCTCGTATACCAATGGTAGCAAAACTGTATTGTTATGGCTTGATTCCACTCTGCAATCTTACGAATGTACCCAGCTTATTAGTTTCTTCCCAAATGTATTTATGGAGCAACTGTTACATATGATGGATGTCAAAGAAGATCCAGAACTCCAACGTCTTGCTTATCACGTATATCGCCACCTTCCCAATATCCCGTTCCGTGCTGGTGAAGATGGTGAGTTTATCTCGGCCCTCATCCGTATTGGCAAGGTATCCACATCATGGCATCAACGTTTACGAACTTTGATCAACATGCAAGTAATCTATTTCCGTCGCATATTCCTCATCCGACCCGCCGAGCAACAAGCTCTCTTCACAGCCGTTGCCGAGATGCTTGAGGACCCACAACTCGAAGTCCGCCTTGGTGCATCTACTACACTTGCCGGCATGATTCGATGCTCACCCATCGTTCTTCGCAACAATATTCTATCTACTTTGCGCATCAAATTTACACAAGCTCTCAAGAAGAATCCTATGCCAAAGAAAGTACAAGGTGTAAGCACACCAGTAAACTCAAATGCTCAGATTATTAAAAGACATGCCGCTGTTCTCGGATTGGGTGCCTTGGTTAACGCATTCCCATATGCAACACCACCACCCGAATGGATGCCAGAGGTATTGGCTACTTTGGCAAGTAGGGCTGCAAATGATGCTGGTGCAATTGGAAAGACTGTGAAGAGCGTGTTGGCAGATTTCAAGAAAACTCGGCAGGATACTTGGGTAACGGATCAGAAGGTATGTTCCTGTCACTCTTTTGTCTTCTGCACTACACTTTTTTTTTTTAAAGCATACAACTAATCGTTCACAACAGTATTTCACACCCGAACAGTTGGAGGATTTAGAAGGCGTGCTCTGGAAATCCTATTTTGCATAAGGCACACGTCGTGGTGGCACGATACTTCGGGTAGAGCTTACGATGGTAATTGAGATCTATGTCAAATGGTTTTGGAGAGCATGGTTGATGATAACATGAATGGGAGTTCTCTTTTCACTCGGTTAAATTACTAGTATACCCCTCAAAGTATGTTCTCGACTCGAGCTATGATATAAACAAGAAGATACACATGGTATAGGTTGACTCTTTTCGCTTGCTTGGGCTAGGACTAAAATCACGAATGTAAAATAGGATATTGAGACGTCAAAACGTTGAGAATGGGACGGAAAGGGATACAATGTGTTATGGCATGAAATATGATGAATAAATAAGAGTCGTTGATACCATTGATGATTTTGTGGTTATGGGTATCTGTCTGTGCTGAGCATTGATGTCGCATTGCATTTGGTAGCGTAGACTTTAGGGAATACAACCTAGTTTGTATGAGTCGTTTGACATGAATATGAAGATTGTGAGAGTTGGGGTGAATGATGAGTCTAGTGTTGGGTTTGTGCTATTCATGTTGCTTGAGGGGGTAGGTTGTGAGAGTATGATATAGTATGTTGGACATCTCTGAGAATCTTCCATACGAATTGGACTAGATATTTGCAGCGTGGAACTGAAATCCCTAGGGGCAGGATAGATAGAGTAGGTATCTGATGGGTTTATGGGCTCTTGTGGAGGTGGGATGAACCGCGATGTGAGATTTAAGTATGTGGAACGTAAGGTAGGTGGTTAATTGGAGTGTGAGGGATTTTGTGTGTTTGTTCTGATTTTTGTGTTGCTTTAGGGGAGGAATGGTTGTGTTTCTGCCATGTTGCATATACAATTTAAGTATTGTTAAGGAGGAATATTGAAAGGGATGTTGGAGAATCTGTATACACATGTACGTATTTCGACTCAAACTCGAAGTAGATGCTCACAATTCAGACAGCGAAGGGGGGAAAGAGTTTTGGGATTGAATTCGGAATATTCGGACGAATGCAGATGGATGTATTAGACTATTGGTATCTCTCTGAGAGGATATTTGGTGGAGGAAAAGAGATGTGAGATTTGGAATTTTCTAGCTTTTGATTTCTTCGTCTTTGTATGTTTTCTTACTATAGGCAGGTAGGTATTTATATGCAGCCTTTGTATGCATCTTCTATATTGAAGAATATCTCCCTTCTCTCTCCCTCAAAACTTCCATTCTGTCTCCCTACTATATTCGAGTAACTGGGCATAAAAACAATCAAAATCTCACCTCTTCCCTCCTTCCTATCTCATCAAGCCATCTTACAAACTCACAAGATCGAAAACATTCCAGTAGCATTCTTCACATTTCTTCTTTGCAAACCAATGTCATGTGGTGAGATACTGTATCCTATCTACACACATACACCGCCCAACTCAATCAACAATCCCATCTCTCTTCCCCTTCCTTCTTCAACCTCCCACTCAACCCTCGTGCCCAAAACGGCATCTTCTCAAATCCCAATTCCCATGCCCCCACGTCCCATCCCCGCTCTAATATCACAAGTCCCACACTCGTTATCCATCGCTCAGCCCAGCCCAGCCCAGCCCAGCCCATCCCATCCAAACCCAACCCAAACCGGAAATCCGCGAATCCACACCCAAAAAACCTCCCCTTCCCTCCCCTTCCATTCCCTTCTCCCACCCTTCCAATCTAATCTCCCCCCTCCGATCCCCTATCCCCAAAGAAAAGAAGAAACGAAAGAAGAAGCAAAAACCCACCAACTGTGGATCCCCCAAACGGCTGGGTACCCAAATCCCGCACTTTCTGGTACCGAGAAACATGGGTTCACCAAACCCAGCAATCCCACCCATTTCCCTTCCGCGTCTTCGAGAACCCTCATCCCGGTGGATCGGATGGATCCTCGGGGGATTAACTTATCTCGCTGCATAATCTTGGGCCCCTCCCTCTTTCTCGTAAGGGACGGGTGTGTGTACGAGAGGAGGGAAGGGCAAGGGCACGTACGTGCGATGTTTGAGGATGGAGGGTTTTGGTTGGTAAGGTTCTTTTTTTCTTCTTCTTCCCTCGCTTCGATGATCGGGGAGATGGGAATGGGAATGGGAAGAAAGCGGGTCTGCGTTGGTAATCTACGGAGGGAAAGGGTGGGGCTGTGCGTGCGGAGTTTAGGGAGGAGAAGGTTATTTTTTATTGATTTTGGTATTGATTCTGGTATTGGGATTGAATTTGGGATTGAATCTGGTACTGATGCAGATTAATGATCATCCGCGAGGACGTTGGAAATATTGGATTTGGTGGAGATGGCTAGGGAGCGAGGGAGGGGGTGGAGACATTTTTTCTTGTTTTCTATACCTACCTAGTTCTGCACATAACAATACTAACAATACTAACGATACATAACACTCATATCACAATAATGACTCATGTACACATTGCATCGCTCATTACAAATAAACATACACACACTTCCACAAAATTAAACATCCATTCAATTCCCCATACCTGGTCCGGTCTGGGGCTGGCAATCCCGTAAAGTATCGGTGCCGAGTACATGAATCATAAAATCACAATTGTGATTTCGACACCAGGTGGAAATTTCCATTTCCATTTCAATCTCAATCTATTTTTTCCTCTCGGGTTCTCCGGTCTTTAGTCATCTCGCGTGAATCATCATACGATAAGTGACTATCCTGTCTTGCTTTTGCTGAATCTTGAAAACGGCATTGGAAAGTCACAATGGATTTTCTGAGTCGGACGTCAAAAGTGTGTTGCTTTTTTGGCATGGGGGACATCACTTTCTGGTTTCTTGGTCGCTGGAATTCTTGTTTCTATTCTTGTCTTTGTTTCTGGCATGGGGGTATTGACTTTTGGGAATTGGTTTTGTATGGTATCTTAACTTTGGGATTTTCACTTTGATTTTGAGTTTGGTGGCGCTGTTCTTATTTTAGAAAAGAAACTCAGGGGGGCTTCGAATCGTCGGAACAAATCTGTATCGGCCCAACGTATCATATTTCGTAATATTTCATCGTACATTTGAGAACCACAGGAAACCATTGCCACATGTTGAGCTAGGTATCCAAGTGTGGATTTAGAGTTTGGATTTACATAATTTGCTATAATTGAGTACTTTTAGAGTTCAGAAAGATACCCAGTTAGGACTAGCTTTTTTCGTTGAAGATATTGAGACTGGAACAGCTCAAGAAATCCATAAGAGAGATATAGTAGGGACGATCCGGCATGAGCCGGCCTGTCAAGAAAAAGGCTGCCATGCACTACGCATACATTCTCAGACACTGTGGATTCATGCAAACCGCTTGGGAGATATCGTGGCGGCATCCATTTGGTGGAAGAAAGACGAATCGGAAAAGGTGCAAGCCATCCATTAATAGACATGTTTGAGCAATACGTGCAAGAGAACCCCCACAGTAATAGTGTTTGCAATAGCTCTTGTATGCATATGAGTCAGTATGTGCTTCCGCGCTGACGATGCTGATTTCCTGGGTCTCGGCAGAACGATCAAGATAAATTCAGGGGGGTTTTATTGCATGCAGATCATAGAGACGGTGATATTGCATTGTTCACACTAATGATTACTGACATATACATCGTGTGTCCCAATATAGCATTGTTGACATACTCAAGTATATCTGATCAATATTTAATGTAGTGTATCAGAAGGCATGAATTATCAATCCAATGGTAAATGCAAGGCGAGCGTTCTTGTCGTGTTGTCATTAATACTTCGTAACACATCGCAGCTATGCTTTGACGCTACTCGAGAAGATGATACTGGCAAGTCAGGAAAGTTCGTATAAGCTTGGAAAAGTAGCATTCAGAAACAAGGCGACGAATGACCCTCCTATCAGGTGTACCCAGACGCTTCCAATAAATCATATGTGGAAAGAGATGCATTATCTAGCATGATGTTCTTCGAGATATTGATTAATAGCTGATGCTCGATAAAAAAGACAAGGAGGAGCTCGAGAAAGATATACATTGGCAATTATTGCAGCCTTAAAGAAGTAATCCGAGACTGATCTCGTCAGTATCATGAGACGTCAGTATATCATGTGGCTCTAACTACTCGGGCATATCCGGAAGCTGAACACTATGGCTCTCAGATTCAGATATTGGAATTCGTCTGCAGAATCTGCAACTGTGCAGACAGTGTATAATTTTGAGGTTGCACGAAAAAAATCAGTAACGCTTTGAATAATTGTTGGGAAGTACAGGTTATGACCCCCATTAACTATCTTGAAGCCTTGCTTCGCTCTTTCAAGTTCACTTCTTATCTCCTAGTTGCTAATGATTGTCTTGAAATATTTCGAACAGAAAAAGAGAAGAAGGTTCAACGACTATTTCCTGTTGGTGAAACAGATCCTCTTTCATTACCGGGTGAGATATAGTTACGGAGTCTATTAATGGTGATAGTAATTGACAGAAAGGATAATCATGATGAATGAAAATAGACAGGCTTCACGAATGATAACACGAATTGGGACACTGACATTACAAGTGTCAGAACTTGAGATGGTATTCGCTTCATCAACCCTAAAAGCATGTTCGTTGCCAAGGTCTTCCCGAAAGAACGATCTCTGCAGATCATGCACCTGTAGACTTAGGAAGAAAGTATTAGCCACGCAACACGATAATAGCATTTCCCTATTTTGATGACTGCACGCTGCATGCAACTGATTCTGAATTTTGAGAGTTGTTGCGAGCGAAAATCGTATGAGATCCATATACCCGTAGGTTTTTCGAACGAACACCTAATCAAACCCATCTTCTGTTGAGGCCCTCAACTTCGCATATCTCTTTCCAATCGCTCCAATAAAAAAATCAGATGACTGCCACAGTATGCGCACTAGCGAAACATAAAAAATTGCACATGGGGTGGTGCTACTTGTACCTGTGTGATGTAGAATTGGATGGTACATTCATATAAATCCCTGCACAAACTTCTTCAAACTCGTGCCCAATTGTGCTTGATTGTGACGCAGAAGCATATTTAAATGATTTGGAGTTATGT